AATTAAAATTTTTAAAAAAGTGGTTGATTCAAAGTCTTGAGCACACAAAATAATTCTGTTTTCTAAAATTCTTTGTTTGATGAAGTTCTTTAGTTGCGCACTCTTAGAATCATAAATTGTGTAGAGTGTCTTGTTTAAAGCTTTTGATGATCAAAACTAAAATGGAATTCCACACAATAAGTTTCTTTGTGATTATGATCTGTGTTAACTGTAAAATTGATCATTGTTCAATTCTTGATGCTGATGGTATTGATATGCCATTGTTACCTTTTGCAGTTGTGGCTGGCGCGTGTTGCCTGAAAGTAGGTCATATCTTCTTGCAACAGTGCACAACTTTTGATCATAGGATACCTGCATGTCATTACTGAAAAAGTTTATGTTCACTAACTAACAAGGAAAAGTCTGCAATCTTAGCAGGGAAGACATGCATGCAAGGTTATATATGTAGTCTGATATCATTGTCCTTTTAGTAACGTTATAGAGGGTATATCTTCAGGTTGTGAAAACTAGGAAATGGATGGACATTTTACTAGTTTGTGCACACCATTTTACTATTTTTCTTCTTTAGATTCTCAGATGGAGCCAAGATCATCACCTCATCCCAATCTACTAATGATGGGAGGACCTTAGTTTCTAAAGATGGAGGTTTTGAACTGGATTTCTTCAGTCCTTGAATCTCGAAGGGCCATTATTTGAGAATTTAGTGCAAGAATATCCCAATCAGAACTATTGTGAGGGTTGCAAATCCGCAGCATCCAATCATGGATTCATCTGGTCTGTTGATGATAAACGGCACAGGCAATCTTGTTCTTACTAGTCAAAATAGGACTATTCTTTGGCCATCAAACTCAAACAAAGATGCTCAAAATCTAGTCTGTAACTCTTACATTCTGGAAATCTTGTCCTCAGAGATGAAAAGGATGGCAACTTAAAAATATTTTTGTGGCAGAGCTTTGACCATCCAACTGACACGTTACTACCAGGGATGAATCTTGGGTGGTACTTGAGAACTGATCTTCATCAACAGCCATCAGCATGGAAGAGCCCAGATGATCCATCTCTTGGAGACTTTACTTTGGGGCTAGGACTAAATAATTACCCCGAACTTACTATGCTGAAGATCAAGAAGAGCATGATCTTGGAATGGTCTCAGATATTGTGGTGAGACCGAATCAAGTTCTATTTCAGTTTTTGAGTTGAACTTTATCTCAAATGAGGAGGAGGTATACTTCAGTTGTAACATCAAAAATAGATCAGTGATCTCAAGGTTTGTTATAAACCAAACTAATTATTTAGGCCAGTGCTTGATATGGAATGAAGAAACTAGAAATTGGATCCTATATTTCTATCTGCCGACTGCCAAGGGAATTCTTTGACCACTATGGACATTGTGGTGTGCATGAGACTTGTGACAACACTGAGTTGCCACTTTGTCAATGTTTGACAAAATTCAAACCTATATCACCACAAAACTGGAACTCAGTGGACTGTTCTAAGGGTGTGTGCAGAATAGGCAATTACATTGCCAGAATGGAGATCAATTTATTAAATTTAGTTGTATTAAATTGCCAGATACAACTTACTCTTGGGTGAACAAAAGCTTGGATCTCAAGGAACGCAGAAGTAAATGCTTTCAGAGCTGCTCTTGTATGGCTCTCACACAATTGGATATCAGAGAGAAAGGTAGTGGTTGTGCCATTTGGTTCGGTGATCTGATTGATTTTAAACAGTTTCATGATGGTGGGCAGGATCTGTGCATCCTAATGTCTGGCTCTGAATCAGGTATGAGCTTCAATTTTATTCAAGGATTTCAATCCGACATTTGACAAACCCCCCTATCCTCTGGTTTAAAAAAAAGGGAAAGGAAAAATAAAGAGATTCCAATCCATCCTTGAGGTCAAATTACACTTCCAATTTAATTTGATATCAATTGAATCTTCCAATTGTTATATCTACTGTGTATATGTTTTAGCTCTAATTTAACCTCTCTCTTCTTCTTCATTTTTTTTTTCCCCTTATGGAAATCAATCATGAAGCAGTGGAAGGTGAGACTAAAATGTAGAGAATCACAGTAATTTCAGTTCCTGTTTTTGTAGTTGTTGGTTTGATTCTTGTCAACTATTACATTCGGAGAACCTGCGCAAATTTAGAAGGTAATTTTATCTGCATTCACAAATCATATCATAATTCTGTTTGTTAGAACTTCATTAAACTGTAAAGAACTAAAGAATGATTACAAACTTTCCTGGATTTGTTTCAACACTGTCATTATTCAGTTATTCATCATTTGATTAAGAACTTGGTTAAATTATTTAGAATTTAACAATTAATATATGCCTTGTAAAAAAAAAAAAATTTAGAGCTGCAGAACCTTGGCTGTCAAATTGATAGAAGAGATTGTGGCATGTCATCTGTTCTCTTTCTTGCTTCATTGCATCTTGACTAGGATTTTAGATTTCTTTATCTCATTATGGCCTCATGCTTGTCAAGTTGATTTGGAAAACATTAGCATTTCAATAAAGTTCACATATGATTGCAATTATGCAGTATATCAATGTTCCTTACTATAATGTTGTCATTTTGTAAGCATAACCACATAAGTATGTTCCTTTCTTTTTTCTCCTTTTCTTGATTTTCAATGATCTACATGGCCAAACTCTAATAAGGGGATTTGAATTTTGGATTAGAAGAATTTCAACCTGTTTATTGATGAAAAGCATTTTATATATTTTAATTTATTATTTTAATCTTGAGTTTATTACTATTTGAAAGGATAATATGTGATTTTTAATAGATTTTATGCAGTTTTCATTTTTTGGGAAAAGAGGACTTGAATGCATAATAATAGGAGTTTGTGGAATTAAGTGAATATCTTTTGAACATTGAGGGACTGAATTGCTAGAAGAAAGGTTGCTTTTTGAGACCTAAATGAATGAATTTTAAGTTACTGGATTAAATTGCTCATTTTATAAAAGATGAAGGATCAGGTCTGTTACTTTACCATTAAAAAACTGCAAAAGGGGGCTAAAAACCCGACACGGGTGTGGTGTCGATTGTCGAGGGATATTTGGTCGACGGATGTTTCGTGGTATCAGCACCATGCGTTAAGTTGGCAAACTTCTCGTGAAAGAAACAAAAGTGTCAACACGTAGATGATAGTGTCGACACTAAATTAAGTCCAGCATTAGTATTTTGCTTTTTTTTTGTCCTGCCACTACGGTTTTAAACTCAATAAATACTCATTTAAAACCTAAATTTAGGACTTTTAGAGAGACCAATAAAGAAACAGTTCAGAAAAATTTAAGAGATTTTACATATATAAAAACATTATTTTTTAAAATTTTTATAAAATTATTGTTTTATTAAACTAATTAAGATTATCACTTTTAAAAAATTTCTAAGCAAAGATATCATATTTTTAATTTTACTATTTAAAAATTAATTAAATGTCAATATTGAGTTGGCTAACAGATTTCGTTTGTGAAACCCACTAAATTGCTGATGTATCAAAAATTGACAGGTGACTGCTTCGACTTGGAGCTGATTTGGACAACATGCATAAGTGCCAACACTGAAAATGGTGGTGTAGGTAGCCAACCCGTGTTGGAGGATCCGTTTTCCTTTTATTCTTTTTAACCAAAAAAAAAAATTAAAGAAAAATCATAAACTATAATGAATATATAGATTAATTAAATACAATAAGTTACATTATATAGATTTATTAAAATTAATTTATCATTTGGATATACTATATGAAAATATTTTAAATAAAAATTTTATTCAATATACCATAATGAATTTTTAACAACTATATTAGTAAAAATAATAAATTTAAGAAGTCATCATGGCTTGTCTATGTTTGAAAATTTTGACTTTCTTGTGTAAAGCATTTTGTTGCTTGTGAAGAAAGTTGTCTGTGTAAAGATGGATGATTCACTTTAAAGCTTCTTTTGTCTTTTTTGTGTAAGCTTTTCAAAATCCTTGCACGACAAAAAATACAAAATTACATAAATATAATATTACATATTTACATGTTTTTAAATAGTGTAATAATATCAATATATATTAAAAAAAAAACTCTTATTATTCCCATTGTTTTTTGTACTTTCACTTGCTTGAGAGTTAAAGAATGCATCTTTCACATTGAAAGCAATTCTTATATGTGAAATAAACAATTCCAGGAAGTTATTTACAAAATATATATATATAATTTTATCTCGACATTATGAAAATAACAAATAAAAAGATCTCTAATAATAAATTATTCTTTAAATTGATGTAGTTTTTTCAATCGACCATGACTATGAAAAACAGAATAACAGTTTGAATCTTCTATAATTTTTTAATGTTTTGATCGGTGTGAAAATATTATTATTTTAACTTTTAAAAAGCTATTTTAGAAGGATTCTGTATGCTATTTCAATCCTTTTAGGATTTATTTACTAATTTATTTTATCAAATTTGAATTAATTTTTCCTAAACAGAAAGAATTGCCGACACGGATTCGGTGCTGACACCACATGTTTCGGTGTCGACACTATTTGTTAAGAATTTTATATTGTCCGAATCAGCTCAAGTCGGCAGCCACTTGTCAATTTTTTTACATATCAGCAATTTAGTTAGTCCGACGGACGAAATCCTTTTGTCAAGTCAGCATTAATATCCAATTAATCCTTAAATAGTAAAATTGAATAAATAATATTCTTGATTAGAAATTTTTAAAAAATGATAACCTTAATTAGTTTAATAAAAAAGTGATATTTTTAATTAAAAAAATTTTAAAAAATAATGTCATTATATGTGTAAAATCTCAAAAAGTTAACATGAAAAGAAAATTAAAATTTGAGATTTTATATTATTAAATTAATTTTATTTATTCTTAAATTTTGTTTTATGATATTAGATACTTTTATATTCATAAAAGGGATCCTTAATTTTTTTTTCTTTCATTATGAATTAATTTAGTCAACTAAGATTACAATGTAATCTAATCAATTTGATATATAATTTCATAATTTTTATAGTTTCAAGATTTATTATTTTGTGTAAAGTATATATTGTTGATCTTGATACTTTCTAATGACTGGCCACCATTAAAATTAATTTAGAGCGTATAATTGAAACTGAGAGAAAATTTATGCAATAGTTTCTAGTAATATATATCATAAATTAAATTAAAGTAAGAGATGAACTAACAAGGTTTGTGCAGCATATATAATTAATGGACTTAATTTTCTACGTAAATTAAAGTGTTTCAAACAAAACATAATACATATTTATCTATTTAAATTTACATAAAGATATAGTAGATTAATAGGTAAAAATAAGTTTAGTATAATTTGAAAAAGTAAAATATATTGAATATGATAGGAAATCTCCTTGTTATATGAATAATAAAAGACATTAAAAGTATATTAATTTAAATTCTATATTAATTGATTATGATAAAATGAAATAATTAAAATTTTAACTCTTGGTATTATTTAAAGTTAATTTAATTTTTTAAATTAATTTAGTTAATTATAATTACTCAACTAAAATTAAAATTAGTTAATTTTAATAATTAATTAGTTTACAAATTTTATAAAATAACATTAAATTTTTATCATTATATTATTAAAACTGACTAGCACTATTAGTAAAATGAAATTAGCTCACCAATCATCATTTACCTTAGCCAGGAGATAAATATATGCCATCCGTCCTGTTCAGAAATCAGAATTATGGTTATGTCTAATGGGCCTAGATGTTAGGGTCCAAATATAGCATTCTACGGTTGACTTGTGGTCAGCACATTTTCTACTGTTTCAGGGAGAGAAAAATGTCTTGTGGAGAGTGACGGAGGCAAAAAAGGGCACAATGAAGAAATGGAAGTTCAGTTTTTTGACCTACCTATAATAGCTAAAGCCACAAATGACTACTCAATCAACAAGAAGCGAGCGGAAGGTAGTTCCGGGCCAGTGTACAAGGCACATTCTTGATATTATACTTGGCTTCGAATACATATTTTAGGGTACTCTGGCCAATGGACAAAAAATTGGTGTGAGGAGGCTTTCAAGAAGCTCGGGGAAAGGATTAAATGAGTTCAAGAATGAAGTTGCATTTATAGCCAAACTTCAACATCAAAATCTTGTAAATTTCTGGGATGCTGCCTCCAAGGAGAGGAGCAAATGCTGATTTATGAATACATGTCCAGCAAAAGTTTGGACTTCTTCATTTTTGTTCAAATTAAAACCAAATACTCTTTGCAGGAGTGGCATGATTCTATCCGAGTTAGTTTGTGCTTGCACAACTTTAGGAAACTGCATTGATGTCAATATCATACTTGTCAGATTAATCAAAAAGAAAACTATTAGCCTCATCCAAGAGTTTTCACATTATCTGCACAATTTCTAGCGGCTCCTCTATCTACACCAAAATTCCAAATTAAGGATCAAAGATCATTTATAAAGATCTCAAAGCCGGTAATGTTTGACTTGATAGAGAGATAAACCCAAAATCTTAGGTTTTTACGTGACTAGAACTTTTGGAGGAGACCAAAATATTGAAAGGAGCACAAACAAAATGGTTGCAACCTAATAAATCTTATTTCTACACTTATAATAGATCTCCCAAATAACCATAGGTGTATAATTTTCTTTGGATGATTTTTCACAATGGTTATATGGGACCAGAATATGTTATCGATGGGCAATTTTCAATGAAGTCAGGTGTTTTTAACTTGGATATATACTATTGCTGGAGATAATAAGTGGGAAGAAAAATAAAGAGTTTTATCATATTAACCATCGATTTAACCTGATCGGATGCAAGCATCAAGACTTACTTTTGCAACATACTTTGAACAAAGAAATGACAAAAATTTTATAGCGTGTATTTGTCTTAGGCATGGAGATTGTGGAAAAATGGAAAACTCGTAGAACTGATTGATTCATTTTAGGAAGAGTCATGCACTCTATCAGAAGTGACCCGCTGCATCCAAATAGGTCTTTTATGTGTTCAACAACATCCTGACGACAGACCTAGCATGACATCCGTGGTTCTAATGCTGGTTTGTAAGATTGGGTTGGCTAAACCAAAAGAAGCCGGTTTTCCTCATGGAAAAGAAGAAATAATTACAAACAGGTTCTTCATCAAGTATGATGGTATCCTCTGCAACCAATGAACGTAGTCTGACAATGCTCGATAGAGGAAACTTGAATTTCATGTCTCATGCTGCATATCATAATGAAATACTGTTCATAGATTCATCCATTGTCTTGTATAGAATACATACAAGACAATGATACTATCCTATTTGATTCTTAAGATCTGTACTGTCATCGCGTACGGTGGATTCATCGAGATAAAGCTTTCTTGTCTTCATGTTCTTTGTACCTTGAATTATTCTATACATGTAAGTAGGAAGAAGTTGCAAGACAAACACTGAACCTTCTTCAGGGGTGCTATTTGGTTAGAGAAACTCTTTTCTCTAAAATTTTCTATACTTTTTCTATAATAAATTTTTTAAAATATTTTTACACATTAATATTATAATAAAAAAAGAATAAAAGTAACATTTTTAATTTTTATTTTCTTTAATATAATTTTTAACCTATAAAGTTTTATTTCAACTTATTTTGAAAGGAAAATATCTCTCTATAAGTATTCATCTATTGAGTTTAGTTAATAACTTTCCCTTTTAATTTTCTCTATATTAATTTTTTACTAAACAAGACAAACTTAAAACCTAACAAAATTTCATTATAAATTTAGGTTAAAATATCAATTTAGTTCCTCAACTTTTTAAGTTTGTAGCAAAATTATCCCTCAACTTTAAAAAGTGCTAAAATTATTCCTATACTTTAATTTTCAATGCCAAAAAAGTTATTTCATTAATAAAAATGTCATGTAACTCATTATTTAACCATAAAATTAGTTTTTTTAAATATTAATGATGTGTAAAATCAAATAGTCATATTTTACTATTATGGTATATTTCTATTTATAAATTAGATTGATATATAATCATAGTTAAAACACTAAATTAGTATTTGTGATCAAAATTTAAGAATTAAATTGATACTTATTTTTAAAGTTTAAGAATTAAATTGTTATTATCTTCAAAGTGCGAAGACTATTTTTGTATAAAAAAATTAAAGTTTAAAAATAATTTCAATATTTTTTAAAATTAAAAAAAAATTATTATAAATCTAAAAATTAATGAACTAAATTAGTATTCTAACCATAAAACTTTCTTGATAAAGTAACATTCTACATATAAAAAAAAAGGCCTTTAAAGTCGGGTCTCCCCAGTCCCACGAAGTCTGAATTTTCCAGAATGTAGAATTACTGTGTAGAGTCAGAGGCGGATTTTATTTACCCTTTGCTTGAGCCGATGGTTTTTTCTAACTAACTCCACATGTTTAATGAATAATGACTAGCAATTCTACGCATGACTTCTCTTTGCTGAACTTTTTAATTAGGTATATGTGGCAGACTTCAAACATTTTACTGCTTGCAATCGACTGGAACATGCAACTTCCAGGGAGAATGTTTGCTCTCCTTTCGAGGTGATTAGTTGAAGGAATTTTTTTGGGGTTGTCAAAAATAGTTTAATTTTAACCTTCTACTTTCAATTCACCTCATGTACCCCCTCTATTATTAATTAACTACTCATATCCTCCCCTACTATTGAAAAAGGTATCAATGTCGTCCCTCCGTCCAAACTTTGTTCAATTTTGGGGTAACGGACACTTTACTTGACTGTTAACATTAACCC